AGGATGGAGGTGCGTGTCAAACTTAAGTGTTAGGGCTGACATACATGGTAGTTGTTTGGGTCCCTTGTATTGTTAAATAAATTTTTACTTGGTGCATATAATTTAGCTATTTTTCTATTAGAGAACATCGAGTTCTCTTTTAATCAAGGAAATTCAGGAACCCCTGACTGTCTCCCTGGGTAATTTTTTTGTAATTATCTTTTGGTTCTTTGCTTTGGCAACGTGGCGCCCGAGTATTTTTGTTTTAATTATCTTTTACTATTTATCTTGTTCTTTATCGCATAACGTAATTTTCCAAACACATTCGATTTAATTTTTTCTTTTTTTTTTTAATTACGTTAAAGTGCATAATTTCTCGCAATTACGCATTTAAGAATTTTGAAAAAGAAGCTATTAAAGTTCATGAGAAAAGAGGGAATCACCTTATCAGAAATGCACTGACAAACAAGTTTTACATATATATGTGTATGTACGTATAACGTCAACAGCCTGTGCTGATCTCATTTTGGAGATTTTGCACGTGTATATATCAGGGAATATAAATACGAGTTCTCGGTTAATAGTTTTCAAAACCTGTAAAACCTTTGAAGTCGCGGTTGTGATACAATCCTTATATGTGCAAACTATATTAACACCGGAAATCAAAATGAAATATTTACAATTCCTTGCTTTATTCGTTGTTATATTCGTTATCACAACGTCTGCTATGCCTGCAGAACCATCCGATATTCGTAAGTTGCATTGCTTTTATTGTATTTTTCGTATTTTTTGTTATTTTCTTTTTTTCCAAATAGAATCTAATAGTTCCATTTTAAACTACCAAAATGAAAAATTAATTTGTTATAATAATAGTATGAAAGCACATTTTCATTGCAGCTTCTTCGTTAAAGCAGGGTACAAGAATCACTAGAGCTGTATCGACATCATTCCAATGTTCTGCTTGTAGCTTTTTCTGTCAAGGCAAAGGAAAAAGGGGTGGTTATTGTATAAAGAACGTCTGCACCTGCTTTTAACAAATTATGTACTAACTTAATATTAATAATAATATTTATTATTTATTCTGCTATTGGTATCTAACATTGATCACCTTCAGCCTTCATATTGTATGTACTTACTATAATTGGGAAAATAAACATGTTCATTTTACATTCACAATTAACCCTAGTTTTATTATCATCGATAGAAAACAGAAAGAACTATTTCTGTGCTCGATATTTTCAGCTTGTTGTCCATCANTAATAAATTTTTAATACATGTTTACTATAATTGGGAAAATAAACATGTTCATTTTACATTCACAATTAACCCTAGTTTTATTATCATCGATAGAAAACAGAAAGAACTATTTCTGTGCTCGATATTTTCAGCTTGTTGTCCATCACATTCATCTGATTATGTATTTGCTTCCCCCGAGTTCAGAATTCTGTAGTACTTCAAAGTAACAGTTAAAAAAATTATTTATTTAATTATTTTATATTCATATAATTAACACATTTCTGATTTCTGTAAGAAAAGGCAAAATTTTATTGAATCTGATGTGGTTAAGTACCTACTTAAAAACATAGTTCCAAAACAATTGCACTTACTTAACGAACAATTTAAAATAGGAATGTACATTTTTATTGCGTCATTCACCAAAAAAAAAGGGGATTTACCGTACACCAAATCACATGCATAGGTAAATAGGTTCATATTATTATAAAGGAAGTCCACACACTCGCTGACTCGCTGAAACTCGAGGAGGTCAATGAAATTCAGTTATATTCTTAATTAAGTATTCATTGTATCATAAGTCGGTAACAATAGTCCACAAATAAAATGATAGATTAGTAAAAGTAATTTTTAGAAATCTGTAAGACATCTGATCCGTTTTGGTATATTTTTTTCAGAATATCTTAAATATGATATTCAAAATATGTGTTTATATTCCCAGTAGCACTCCCCTTGAAGATTCACATTCGAATTTATTTTATTATCCAAGTTTCAGAACGCTATCACGTTTAAAAAAAACTACTTCGAGGATATATATCAGTCTAACCCATAGAGTTGTATGAATAAGTTATATAAGTAGTTTTAAAAATCCCGTCCATTTTTGTCAGATCTAATACCTACAATACTATAAAATTTCTTTTTTAAATTTGAATTATTTTGCTGAATTTATAAGCATTTAATTTTGATGATCATCAGTAATCTTTTAACGAATAGATAGGCGGATGGACAACGAAGTGGCCCTAGTTAAGGGTTCTGCCTTTTTTTTAAGGTATAGAACCCTAAAAAGAGAAAAAGACAAGTTAAAACTGTGCTAAACTGTAAATAAATTTAGCCTGCTTATTTTTAAAATAGTAGGATCTATTTATTACCTTTCTTTATTCCAAAATTGTTTCAATTAAAAAGAAGTGCATTGCTATAGTTACATTTTGTTCCAGGTGTTAAAAAAAGCCCTACATATTGTTATCGTCTTGCTACAGAATCTCAAAGTGCAAAAAAAGGATGTGAATTGCATTGTAAAGGATTAGGAAAGGCAAAAGGATTTTGTGTAACAGGAATTTGTACTTGCCGATGAAATGACAAGCTTTATCTAAGTGTTTGACATCTTTGTAAATTATTTTCTGTTTTTATGTATGTTTATTAAATAAAATGCATGGTTACTGTTTTAAATAATTTTATATTTCCTTCCGGGAAATTCAGTCTATTTCTGATAAGGCCACGCGAAGTACGTAAATTCCGTCCCAGTGATTTTTATTACCATACGTAACTGTGATGCAACGACTTGAGAATTGTGTAAACACACGATTGACATGAGGTGTAACATCAAAAAACTTAAAGAATGATAAGGCACCAGGCATACAGATAAAATACAAGCGGAAATCTTACAGCTTACAACATCCAGTCCAAGAGGCTACAGATCGTTTGCTTAAGTTAGCTGGCCACATATATGAGACGAGCAAAGTCCCGAAGGACTATAAGCGGAGCATGGTGTAACCTTACCAAAACGATAGGAACAGATACATTCTAATAATGTAGAACAATTACCTTAACTTTCTATGCGTCAAAAATTTTAACTGGAATCGTGCAGTAGTGCTAAAAAGGGTGGAAGAACTTTCAGGAGAAGACCAATTTGGATTTAGAAGAAAGAAGGGAACGCGTGAGGCCATTTTAGTTTAACGAGTAATAATCAAAGATTCGTAGCATTACAAAA